TACTATTGTCATACTTCTTTCTGTGTTTACAATGTTTTCCTTCCAGAAATAATTAGGAAATATTATTAACCAAGACGCCCAGCTGACAATATGGCTTTATCTGATGTGTTCTTGGCATGGAGATTTCAGCAGCCAATTTAAATGTAAGGATTTAGGAAAACACAGAAAGAGAAAATCATTGTAAGTCATTATGACTTGGAAAGCAAACAATCGAGGTTGATGTAAAAGAATCATGACAACGGAAACAGCTAACTTTTGTTCTGTACGTGTATATAATATTTATAATTCAAGACTTATATAATCTAGATATATTTCCCATTTGGGCTGTCTCGCCTTAACATTTTCTTCAGTTCAGGCCTTCCGAAACAACCTAGAAATCTTCATGTATTTTCCTTCATGCTTATGTAGAATATTAATCTAAATTAAGTTTCCTGTCTATTTCCTTATTGTTCCTCGCTTATGGCATTTTGATGAACGGGCAACATAATAAACCAATAAAAGAAACTGAACAGCAGACCCCGATCCCAGGCTCATTGTTATCTCCTCCACACTGCCCTGTAAGCCCCCATTCTGCTGATAATTTTTACTCCAGACTGATCTCCGTTTCCTACTTCGTAAGTTAAATTTCCCCCCCCAGGGCAGCTGTTGTGATTTTAAACGAATCTTTATGATAGCTTAAGAAAAACTTGATTAGAAAGCTCAAGAGCCCGCAAATCGTTCACTCAGTTTCAAAGCAAAATGAAAAATTGTGGCTATTAGCCTTACTGCTTCCTCTTGTTATCCTTTTTTGTTCTATACTATAGATAACTGAGAGTTCACTGAATTTTGTGATGTTATTAGACTTTTTCAATGATTTGATTCTATGAAACTCAACTGAAATCGTGTAATTGAAAAAAACACAAAAACCTACATCAAAAGTCTAATTATATATATTTTTTGGTACTAGATGTGGGTGAATGGCTCATAGTTTAAATATTCTGATAGAATATTGAGTAGTGTAGTAGAGAATAACACAGAAAAAACTGAGAAAGAAAGAGAAAAACCATTATTTAAAACCAGATGTCTACAGTAATAGTGGGAAACCACAGGCTCATGGCTAGGATGTAGAGAAGTGGTTTTAAGTCCAGTATTTGGTGAAAATCTCTTTGGTGAAAATCTCTTTCAATTCCTACTGCGAAGATGTGAAAAACATTTCATGGTATCAAAAACAGATGTTCTTGAAGGAAACTGTGGTAAAGATGGATTAACACAGCCTGTGTAAACTTATCAAAGTGCTGTCACAAAGAGTAGAGCACCAATTTGGGCATCAGTGGATACTTCCTAAAGGCTACTTATCCAGAGGGACGTATTTTCATCATGTATGTGTATTAGCTTCCTAGGTCTGCTGTAACAAATTGCCACAACCTGGGTGGCTAAAAAAATTGAAATATCTATCTGTATGGTTCTGGGAGCCAGAAGCCCAAATCAACGTGCTGGCAGGGCTGTGCTCCCTGTGGGACTCTAGGGGGGGAGCATCTACCCTTTGCGTCTTTCAGCTTTCAGTGGCTGCCCACATTCCTTGGCTTGTGTCTGCGTGACTCCAACCTCTGCCTCCCGACCACCCTGCCTCTTACTGTTTTGTGTGTCTTCTCCTCTCTGTGTATGTGTGTGTGTGTGTCTTTCTCAAACCCTCTCTCATGAGGATGCATGTAATTGCATTCAGGGTAATGCAGGGCAGTATCTACTTGGATAATCTAGAGTAGGTGCCTCTTCTGAAGATCCTTAGCTGAATCACCTACTTTGCCACAGAAAGGAACATTCACAGGTTCCGAGGTTTTGATGTGGGACCTTTGGGGGGTCCCTCTCTTGGCCTAGCACACTCTATATGACAGAACTGTATGGTAGTGTCTCCAGTCTCCTCGAGCTGGCCTCTCATTGGTTATTACCCATGCTGTCTGTAGCAAAGTTCGAACATGCCTAAGGATGGGTTCCTCATCTGAACTTGATTCGAGACATTCAACTCACTGCTGCCTGGGGCACTGGCATCAGAAAGAGAAGGTAGGTTCAGTATTATCCATGCAAGTAGAACCCCAGGTGCCCACCAGCAATGTGACTCTCCATGATTCCTGCTCATCAGGTTGGCCTTGCAACAGGGACAGAAATAGGATTATAGTGTCTTTCTTGAGATATACAGATCTTCTAGAATAGTGGTTAACAGGTGGACAGTAAAATCAATTTATGGAGATACCTTAAGCCCAAATAACCATATTTTGGGAAAGTATGCATTTAATTACCTAAATTTAACAGGGCATTGGAGTAGGATGAGAGTAAGACACTAGTATTGAGATATTAGATAATATATGTGAACCTGTAGACAAGGCTAAGTTCATGCTGCCTATGCACTTGATGCCTGAGAAGAACTACCATAGTTAGGGCGGGTTTGTACCTTTCTTATCCTAGAAGTTCTTTCCATGTGGTATATTTTCCTGTGTTTTGATTTTCTTTGTTTGCATGTGCTATGGTCTGAATGTCTGAATCCTTCCAAAATCCATGTTGAAATCCTAATGTCCAATATGATGTTATTAAGACGTGGGGCCTTTGGGAGGTGAATAGGTCATGAGGATGGAGCCCTCACGAGTGCTATTAGTGCCCTTATAAAAGAGGCCCCCAGAGAGCTCCTTAGGCCCTTCCTCCAAGTGAGGGTACAATCAGAAGTCAGCAGTGTGCAACCCAGAAGAGGGTCCTCACCAGCATCTGGCTATGCTGGCCCCCAGAACTTGGACTTCCAGCTTCCAGAGCTGTGAGAGATAAATACTTGCTGCTTATAAGCCACCCAGTCTGTGGTATTTCATTATAGCAGCCCAAATGGACTAAGACAGCATGAATCAGAGATCGTTCTACCCCAACCCACATAGGTCTGTCCCTTTTAAAGGAATATTGAATTGGGAGCCAGAAGACCTATCACCTGCTAACTGTGCAACCTGAAAACCATCACTTCCTGCCTCTTCTTCTTCTCAACCTTTCCATCTGTAAAATGGGAAACCATGTAAATATCAGTTTCATAGGATTAGTGTGTCCATCCAATGAGACAACACAGGAAATGCACTTTAAACTGTCTTTATGTAAATAGGATTGTGGTCTTCATATCACACGGCTGTGCTGCCTGGTCCTTTGTCTTTAGTCTAGAGCTTGGTTATGCAGCCTTGTATTTTTTAAATGTAGAAATCTTTTTCTTTTCCACCAGGTTATTTGGTGTTTAATGGCACAGATTATATATTATGTGTTTCTTGTCTCCACTTTCACTCTAACACTGTCAATGTCACTGGGCCAACAGTAATAGCTCAACTGTGATCTGGGTAGAGATGAGAACATTGGCCGTGTGAGCCTTGAACCCCTGCTCTTTGCTCTATGGTCAAGTTCTCAAACTCTGATGTGCAAAGGAATCACCCAAGGAGCAGGTTAAAAATGACCATTCCCTGGCTCCAGTTCAAAATCTCTACGTTAATAGATATGGGACAGAGACCAGGAATCTGCATTTTAAAATAAAATCAAACAATATGGCTTATTATGAATTATGTTTATATTGTTACATCTCTGAAAGTGAAACATCAAAAAATAATGAAAACAGATTATGTGATAGTCACAGATCTTAAGCAAAAAATGTTAGGTAATTTTTTAAAGAAGAATACAGTTATATCCACCATTTGGAAATACTATGCTTTCTTGTCTTTTTCTGTAATTCTGTGTGGCATTGTGCCTTCTCATTGTATGTAGGTATTGATGATGATGCCAAGGGGTGAGTTAGAGCCTCACTCACACTGGGCAGATACAGTCTCTGCTCCTTGACTATGTCTTTAATCTGTGATTCCTGCCTTCCCCATTGACAGTATGACTGGAACGTCCATTAGATCTCACAATTCTGGCTGTAGCTGTGGCCAATCCACATTACTTCCACAAAGCCGTGGTTCATTTGGAATAGACTCTGAATTCCCTCTCTCAGGCACCTGGGTGGCTCAGTCGGTTAAGCATATGCCTTGGGCTCAGGTCCTGGGATCGAGTCCCGTGTGGGGCTCCCTGCTCAGCGGGGAGTCTGCTTCTCCTTCTCCCTCTGCCCCTCCCCCTCCCTGCTCCTTCTCGCTCTCAAATAAATAAATAAAATCTTAAAAAAATAAAATTGAATCCCCCCTCCCCCCATCTCTCCTCCTTTCTCTCCCTCAAGAGACTAAATTGGTATGGATATTTGTAACACACACCCCCATGACTCTGAGCGGACACTGAGAAACACTGCACTAGGAATAGATAAGGAGCCAATTACTCTGATTTTATTTTTATCATCTAAGCTCCATTTGTTGAACTAGAAGAGAAGAGGTGCTTTAAAATAAAGGAAGACAGAAGATGTGCAATAAAAGTTCTTGGATGGGAGGAAATAGAATCTGGAGTTGGTTCACTTGAAACATGTCCCAGCAGTTTGATTGAGGAGTGGTGTTGAACGCTGAGCCCACGTTCTGAGCAGCGTCCCCCCCCCGCCCCCCCGGCCAAGAACAATTGCCCGGGGTGCGCCAGCCCCGGTAAAGTGCTGTACATGCTTCCTACATTTGCTCTTGTGTCCTGCACTCACCAATACATGAGGGACGCCTGACATTCATGTCGCTACATGTTACCAATAGACTAAGCGATCACAAACCCATCTTGGTAGCCAACTGCTACTCTCACTCTAGACTTGCTTTTGGAGATCTGGGTGCAAGGACTGAGACATTTTAAGCACAGGGTGGAGCTATTTATGAAGACACGGAGGGCAGACAGAAGACATCGCCAACTGGGATGTTTCAATACGATTTCGCATGCTACAGAAAGGCGTTTTCTAAGCCATCTCTACCAGATTTAGAATAACATGTCGATGACCATTAACGTCAGACCCGAGAAGTGAGACCTGGTGTCTAGAGAAGGGAGAGAGGAATAACTAACCTTAAAAGGGGATTTAGGCTCGCAAAGGCTTCAGAATGAATTAAATTGAGACTTACATTAAATCTTGAGTTACTTGTCTGCCTGGACCGTTTTTCTGCCAGTAGATCTTTGACCGTGTGCTTGACTCGCACGCCTTGATACACGCGTTTGCTGTAGTCTCCTGGGACTTAAGCAAATGGAAGCAAGGATCAAAGGTGGATGGAGTGACAGGTTAACCTCCCTGGGGGATGTATTCAAGGGCTGGTCATTGTGATGCTGTTCGCTCAACAGAATGACAGGCTTCTTGAATTTGACGTGGCTTCAGTAGAAGTCACTTAGTCTCTTTCTTTGATAGAAATTCATCCAAGCTCTGCTTACGTGGAAAAAAAAACACCCCCCTATCCCACCTTCTACACAACAGTTGTTCAGAATGTTGTCTTTTTTGTAGCCTCAAGGTTTATTCCAGGAAGGCTTACAGTTTATGCTTCGGTTGCAAGATCAGGAATCGGATGCACCTTGGAATAATGCTTCTTACTACCTGATGCAAAAGTTAGATTTGCATGATTCAGTTTGCAGAGTGACAGCATTCCTGCCATATCATATTCCTACCTGATGTGGGTGAGCTGGTCAACCGGACTGCTTTAAGATTATGTTCCTAAGAAGAAGGCCATCTGTTTCTGTTTACTGCACAATTAAATTAAGCAGTTTTTATTATTGAAAGTACAGTCTTTCAACATGGAGAGTTGCTGCTTTGAAACCAGGCCAAGGATAAGGGAAGAGTCTAATGAATGTTTCCCATTCATTTAACAAATATTTATTGAGCACTTACCGAACCTATTGGTATGCTTGATAATTTACCTGTATTATTTCATTTGATCCATTTTACGAATGAAGAGACTGAGGCTCTGGGGCTAACTAAATTATTTGCCAAAGTCTCGTAGCTGCCAATAAGCAATGGAACTGGGATCCAGACTTGGGTTAGATCGTAGCTCTAACAACAGGGAACATTTGCTATTTTGACGGTGAGGAAATTAAGAGATAACAGACTATAGAGAAAAATGTTTCCCCAAGGTTCTGAAATTGGCAACACTGCTCCTTGGGATAGTGAGCTCCTTGTCACAGAGGACGGTCAAGCAACGACAGGAGAAACTTCTGTTTGGACAATTACAGAAGCATTCGAGCACTGAATCGTAGCTGAACTGCAGGAACTAGAAGATATTTTCTACCTCTGAAATCACGGTTCTGTAATAGGTTGGGATGGTTTCAATTCATTTTAACTGAGCTGTTGCTGGCTTGCTTACTAGCAATTTCAGCTGGTGCAGAATTCAGCATCGGTGTGCATGGCAGAAGGTACTCACACATTTATGTGTGGGCATATCACTAAAAAAGTTCTCTGATCTGGTGAAATTTGTGGATAGTCTGGGATATATTTGACTTCTGAGTCAAATCTCATTACAGAGAGAATAAAAGGCAGGAAGAAAGGAAAGAAGCACAACCCAAACCGGAGGCCGAGGGGCACATCTGATGGAGGAGGCTGCTGGCCCAGTGGGCAGTGCCTACGTGACCATGTGTCCTCTGCTCACGGATGGGGGACTATCACAACCTCCTAGCCCCAGCTTCTTTGTCCCTAAAATCTCGCTGCAGCGTTTTCTAAGATGGGCATGTGAAAATACGCCAAACTACCAAGTTTTGTACAAAATGCCTGGGCAAAATGAAGGAGGGGAAAAAAAAATCTAGGTTCCAAGGCAATGTATTATTTAGTTCAAATAAAACCACACAGAAACCTGATTTCAGCAAAATAAAATTATTTGAATGGTCCTTTGGGTCTAAGTTGGACAGGATCTAATTTTGGTCTATATATCTTCTAACTAAAGAGGCTTGAAGTACTTCTTTCAAATTAGCCTCCAGTTTAAAGCTTGAGGACTTTAAACTTGAGGACTTTCCAAAGGAATCTAGGTGCTGCTTCTAGAATATATGTGATACTTTCATTTTTGGAAAAGCCTAAGGCCACATTTACTCATCAATGATATATCCAAGTATTTTTTATGTGTCAGGCACCGTGTCAGAACTGGGGATATGAAAGAATTTGCTATCTAGTGGGAGGAGAGAGAAACTTAGAAGATAATTTTAATGCAAAGGTGCTAAGTGCAACAACAAAATTATGCCTAGGATATTCTGAAAAACAGTGTCAATTCCTTGTGAGAGTGGGGAGGGACTGGGGAGGGTAGAGGGGAACCCAAGCTGGAGGCAGGGTAAAGTGGGCAAGAACATTCCAGGCGTCGAACACCTCAGGGGCAAAGTCCTGGAGGCAGGAACAGATCCAGGTGTGTGAGGGAGGAAGTAAAGCTGGAAGAGGAAACGAAAAAGCTCAGTCATGAAGTTTCTGGTGGGCAACAGAGTTTGGACTTCATCCTGTGGGCAATAAGTCATTGGAAGCTTTTAAGCAAGGGAGCAGTATGGTTAGATTTGCATTTTAGATAGACTTTTCTGGCAGCTGTGTAGGGGTGGATTTAAGAATCACAAAGCCACAGGGAGATCAGTCAGGAGGGTTCTAGAAGAAGTCAAGCAAGAGATAATAGGCTCGTTTTTGTTTTTGTTTTTGTTTTGTTTGTTTTTTAGAGAGGGAGGGAAGGGAGATGAGGGAGAAGGAGAGAGAGAATCTTAAGCAGACTCCACACTGAGCGCAGAGCCCAACTTGGGGCTCAATCTCATGACCCTGAGATCATGACCTGAGCTGAAATCAAGAGTCGGACGCTTAATCGACTGACCAACTGAACCCCCCCTGCCAAGAGATAATGGGTTCTGAGTAGTGGCAGATAGGAGGGCAAGGAGCAGACATTTGAAAATTATTTCTGGGTGGGAGGGAAAGAAGAGGGAAGATTCAAGGGTGATTCTCGAGTTTTCCCCATGGGATCGGTCTGGGTACATAAGTTCTGGAGCCATCATGATGTGGTGTAATGAAACCAGGAAAGAGGATGGGGGAGTGTTTGAAAGGTAGAGTCACGTGATGGCACACTTAAGAACAATACTGTCTGTCCGGCACACCGGGATAAGCAGGCCAGGTTGCTACCACGGCCCCAGAGGATCTATATCTTGGGAACTCCTATAATGCTGACTCCTGACACACTGGTTGGGGAAGCTCTGGAGTAAAGATGGAAGTTACAGATGAAAGCCTGGGGGAACGTCCAGATTTGAAGTGTTGTCAGAGGAGGAAGAGAGAAATGAAGAAGATAACATAGAAGAAATAGTTGGAGAAGAACCAGGAAAAACCAGCGGAATAAGGCATCCACAGAATTCAGGGGAAGAGATTTCAAGAAAGAAGGGAAAAGTATGAAAGGCAGGAGAGAATGGTCCAGGAAGATAAGGACAGGAGAGCATTCACTGCTTTCCATCCAGTGGGTGATGTCAACCTTAGCAAGAAAAGCTCTAGAAGTGTAGCTAGAAGCCAGATCATAATGTCAAGGGCCAACACAGGGATGGACATTTCTTCTTGATGTTTGAATGAGAAAAGGAAGCAGGTGTTGGATGATAATTGGAGAGAGCTACAGGGTCAAGGAGAGGTTTGCTTATATTTTTATATCTCTATATTTATGGATCACAGAGATTTGAGGGTATTTGAACAGGTCAGAGGAAGGGATTAAAGATTTAGGAAAAGGGGAGAGATTGATGGCAGGAGGCTGAAGAGGAAGCAAGAAATTGCAGGCAAGGGCATAAGTTGGCTCTCAATCCCTGAGACTGGGATAAAGAAGGACTGGGGAGCGGTGGTGGCCAGGTGGCCTGGTCCATGGCTGAGATAGCTGTTGTGTGCCGGGAAGCAACCTGGAGGAGGAGAGTGACTCAAGCACTAACAGAACAAGACAGGAGGCAAAGCCAGAGAGATAGGTCAAAGTGAGAAGGCACCCCAGTGATCCTCACAGTGTGATCCCTGGACCAGCAGCATCGGCATTGCTAGGAACTTGCCAGACGTGCAGAGTCTCACGCCCTACTCCAGATGTACTGAATCAGAATCTTTAGGGCTGGGGCTAGCAAGCCATGGTTTAATAAGCCCTCCAGGTGATTCTAATGTTTTCCAAAGTTCGAGAACTTCAGGTATACATAACAGGGAGGACTTTATAGGGTTCCTGTTCAGGTGGGGGCCGACTCTAACCTGGGTATTCCTGGCTGAGAGAAAAGGGGAACATCTGGTGATTGATGGTGGGCATGGATGCAGGTCTGAGAAAGAGAAAGGGCTGGGAACTGAAGAGGTCCAGGCTGGATCCCTTGTCTGTCTGCAGTCAGTCTTGGCTTCACTTTTTCCTGCAGGGCTTTTGGGTTGATGATTTCAATCTGATTCATCAATTTGTGCTTTATGTGTATGCCAAAAAGCCTAGAAGAAATATACCTATTTTAAATAAGTTTAACAAATAACCACATGGTAGTTAGTAGAGGGATAAAGTTCATGAGATGGCAAATAACCAGATCAAAACTTCTGAAGTTTTGTCATAAACAATCAGTTTTATGTACCAGTTGGCACTGACTTGGTACAAAGTATGGGCCAAATGCCACAGGGGATGCAAAATAAGTTGAGAACATATAGCAGATGTCCTCAAAGAGATCCTATTTTAGGGAAAGAAATGAGATATTCACATGTGAAAGGGGAGGGGAGGCGAAGAGCACACTTTGGGTGGTCGGTGACAGTTTTGTGGGAAGGGACGGGATTCAGGTTGGACTCAGAAGGATGTGGATGGGTTAGGAGCAGGAACAAAGGTCTTGCAGGCATCAGGCATGGTGTGAACAAACACAGAGGTGGGAGGAGCAAGGCACATGCTGAAAGGGAAGGAACTAGCGTAATGGGAGTTAATGGGCTTAAATGCCATCTCCATGTACATGAATTTCAAATAGATATCCTATAGTCCGGACTTTAGACTTGGATATTCATCTTCACTCTGATGTCCAGGAGACATCACAAACTCCAGTTGCAGGTCCAAACCTGAACTCCATTCTCCCTCTGCATTTGCTTTATCTGGAAACGTCCCTTTTCTCAGTTGGTGGCATCTCTACCTTTCTAGGTGCTCGGTCCCAAAGCTTTAGGCATCATCCTGCATTCTTCTCTTTTTGTCCTGCTTCGCAAACTGTCCTTTAGGAATTTGTGATGGGGCTACCTACAAAATAGATCTAGAAGCTGCTGACTTTCTTCCCCCTCCACTGCTAGTATCCGGGCTCAATCTCGGGTCATCTGTCATGTAGATTACTGCAACAGCCTTCAGTACCCTTCACCCTAGACCTGGTCTGTTATCAGCCCAGGAGTCAGACAAGAAAGCACAGTTGTGTCACTTCTCCTCTCAGGACAATACAATGGCTCCCCATTTCGCTCAGAGTAAAACCAAAGTCCCTAGAATGGCTCTATGGAACCTTGTTCCATGATCCCGTTGATCTCATCTCCTAATACTCTCCCCTTGCTCACTGTACTCCCGCCAGTTTCTGAATGCACCAAGCACACTGCTTCTGCCTTAGGACCTTTGCATTGGCTGTCCACTCCATCTGGATTATTCTTCTCCCAGTTATCCACATGGCTAGATGCCCTTGTCCCCTTCATGTCTTGGCTCAAATGTCATCTTTTCAATGAGAACATATTTAAAGTCGCATCTTTCCCATAAAACATTCCTAGTCCCCTTCACCCCATTTTACTTTTTCTTTCTACGTAGTATGTGTCACTTTATAATGACCTATATAATTTCCTTATTTATTAAGTTTATTGCTTGCTGTCTGTCTGCTCCTTGCTAAAACATAGGCTCTATGAGCGTAGGGATATTTGCTTGTTTTTACTCATTGAAACATCTCATGTGTCAATGCCTGGAATGGTACCTGGCAGATAGTAGGTTTTCGTAATTATTTGTCGAAAGCATCCTTTTGCGGGGGCAGTTGAGAATAGTGGACATGCTGAAGGTCTTGAAAACCAGAGTGTAAAAAATTATGATTTATGTTGTAGGTGATGGAAACCACTAAACCTTTTGAACAGGAGAGTATTGTGACTTTGTCATTTTGAGGGAAGATTTAGAATACCGTTTTGGAAGATTAATCTGAGGATGGAGCCCTAGAATGGGTTGGGGATGAGGAAGCGGGGAGAATGGGATAAGGTAAAACAGAGGCTAACCTGAAAGAATGGAAATGAGGAGAAAAGCACAGATTTAAGAGAACTTTCAAAAGAAAACACACACACACACATACATACACACAATAAAAATGACCACCAGGATTAAGGAAAAAAAACAACAACAACAAGAAGACAGGGAAGAGAGTCACTTTTCATGGGGAGATAAGAATTCAGTTTTGAACATGTGGACTTTGAGGTTGTAGGGACATTATCAGACTCAAATAGCCTACAGACAAGATGGGGGCTCTGACCAGCCCTTCTAAAAAATACCTTTAAAACTATGGTAATTAGAACTACAAAAATAAAGTTCTCTAAGGAAGACTTTGTAGCAATAGAAGAGTAGACATCCAAGCATGGAGCCTTGGAAGCCGCTACAGTTCTGATGCCCAGGGGAAGGCAGGGGACAGGGAAGGTGGGAGCGGGAAGAAGAGGTCAGAAATGTGAAGTACCAGAGTATTAGCTTCAAGGAAATGCAAAAAAGACAGAGCATAGTGAAAGGAATAAAAAGTGTTGTCAAGAATCTGGCACCCGTGGGACGCCTAAGTGACTCAGTTGGTTTAGCGTCTGCCTTCAGCTTAGGTCATGATCCCAGGGTCCTGGGATCAAGCCCCGCATCGGGCTTTCTGCTCAGCAGAGAGCCCGCTTCTCCCTCTGCCCCTCCCCCACTCTGCTCATTTTCTCTCTCTCTCTCTCTCTTTCTCTCTCTCTCTGTCTCTCGCTGTTGCTCTATCTCAAATAAATAAATAAAATCTTAGGGGAAAAAAAAGACATGCTTGATAAATACTTGTGGAGTAAATAAAATGTCTTACAGGAAAATGAAGGCACAGAAAGACCATAGGGTTTGGAAAGGTAGAGATACTCAGAATGTGGGAGACCGCATTTTCCTAAGAGGGGTGGATGAAATCTTTCTCTAGGGCTTCCTGGGGGTGTGGGTGGACACAGGGGCACGAACCCTGCTCTGAAGCAGTGCTACAAAAAAGCAAATACTTACATTTGACATAGCACAAAAAACGAATTCAAATACGTTTTAATTAAGCAATGGAACCCGGTACAATTTCTTTAAACTATCACCTGGAGTATTCTTTGTGTTTCAAGAATTCTGAAAGTTCTTTAACCTGTCCTTTTTAGAGGGGAGTTAAAAATTCTACCAGTATTCCTTTTCCCAAACATTTCTTTCCTCTTGTGCGCTGTCTATTTAAAGAATCCACACCTGCATAAAACCAGGAGATGCTTAAGAGTTTTTATTCAAATACTCTAGATACAAACTTGCATTCAGATCAGTTGTTGAGAAAACAAAGACCTGTGTTTCTGGAGAGAAAGCACAAGCAAATTTATTAAGAAGAATCAACTTATCCTTTAGAATTTGGAAAAAAATTTTGTACGGCTGTATTATGATTATGTACACTCAGCAAACTGTCTCAGTCATGTTCCTCTCCTTACTGCTGTTTATTTTGATAAATAATTTGGACTATAGTATGCTTAATAGTGCTGTTGCTTTATTGTTTTTGAAAATTAAACATTTTTCTCCACCAAAACAAACGCATACATTCTTAAATAGAATATTTAAAATGCAGGCGATTCGTAAAATGTTTTTAGCTATTAAATATCAATACATTTATGGTGTTTATTTAAAGCACTTTCTTATTTTACTATTTTTGATGACACTCTCTGGAATACATTTCCTTGTGTTCTCTAAGCAGGCGCTTGCTATCTAAGGTAAGGGAATGGAGAGAGCTTGAAATAAAAAAAGAATAGAACGGAAAACCATCCCATAACTTTAGGAAAGAGCAATTCATATCTTGAGTCACATCATTTGACAGTGGAAAAATTAAGATAATAGATGATGTCTCTCTGAATTGTAGTCCCTCCTGGTATGGATTGGCACATTCCCACTCAAGACAGATTAGAAGAAAAATCCTGAACGATGGATTATTGATGGACAGTGTCCATGTCTGTTCCATGTCTCCGCCTATCAGGGAAGGGCCAAGAATGAGGTCCCGGATGGTCCGGTATCAATACGGTGTGTTGGCTCACCCTCTGGCTCACATGCCCCTCTCTGGCCCACTAACAAGCTCAGCCTGCCTTGCTGAGGATGAGAAGGGGAGGCAGATACCCACATAGGAATACAAAGTCCTAGCTCTACACCCACTAGAGGCTTGGTGTTTGTGGTTCCATTGCTGATCTGCGGGGCAGATATCATATTAGTTTCACTATGGGAAACCTCCAGGAGAATACAAGGAAAGGCAAGTTCCATGATTAATAATAAAACGTGCAAATATTAATTACTCAGCAGAAAATAACATATACTATTTATGAAAGCTTCAGCTGGAAAGAGAGACTGAACTTTTTTTAAGTGAGGCCAACTTAGTTAAGGTGTTAGGATTCTGCAGGAGTTTAGTTTGCCCACATTGCAGGCACCCATGGCCCCTCCCCAGGGCTACCCTCCTCCTGCCCGAAGTCTCACAGCTAGATGCAAACCTCAGCACTTCTGTCAATTACCCGTTCCAGGCTGCAGTTCACAGATGCTCTTATGTGACGGCTCTATCATCTTGTTTTTTGAGATCAGACTTAGAAGAGTTGGAGCATTTTTAAAAATATTAATTTTTCTTTCAAGGTACTTTACAAGGCATTTTTGAAATATTTGGTCATTATTTATTAACACTGAAAATTCTAATTTTTTTCATCTCAGATTTGTTCCTGAATGGGTGGGTTTTACTCTAGGTTGACACTAAAATCTGTATCCTCTGAGCGAACAAATTGGGAAAGATCTGTAGACAGTTTGAATTCATGAAATGATAGCTCAGGCTCTTCCCTAACACGTGCACGTGGCATGTCCTTCATTCTTAGACTAAGAACCTAAAACAAGATGCATGAATAAAAGATACTTCAAGTTCTATATAAAAGTGGATTCTTCTGCACATTCCTTATAATTGAGAGCTTACCAGAAGTTGTTCCATTTAACACAACGTTTCGCTATCATGGAAAGGAATGCTGCAATACCTAAGTCTCCGTTTTATAAAAATAACGTTCAGTAGAGTTGATCTTTCAAAATAAGTACCTGCCTAAACTCTAGGCAGCAAAGGTAAACCTAACAATTAGTGCAATTCAATGCAACTAGAATTATGAAAATGTTACCAAGAGTTCTAAATTGTCGGTCTCTGGTCTGTGTTTTTATAGTTTTATATGTTCTAGCCAGAGTTTAGGAGTATTTCTTCTTGTCCTTTGCTTCACGTTATGACTTTGCGACGTCAAAAGTACACATTAGGACTATTAAAGTTTTTTTTTAAAGATTGTAATAATTGACATTGACTCACCACTTTCCATTCTGGATGGTTCTGGTGAATTTCCTTCTTAGCAGTGATGCCGGATATCTGGTGAATATTTCCTTGATAAGGGATCCCGGTCTCTGGCAAGGTAAGCCTGATCCTGATGGGAAAGGCTTCTGTATATGGTAGTGATGCTTCTGAGATGACTTGCTTTAAATTTGATTACATGCAAATCCTTTGGTGTCTGTTTCTCTACAATTTGCATCCCCAATGTAGATTATATATAAGGTAATTTTTTCCTCCCCAAGAAGATTTTTATTTAGTAACAATGAGTTTCCATTAGGAACAAACTCCCTTAAAAGTTTATTATGGAAACAAGGGACCCATTATTTGTTTTGTGAATAACAGTGGCATTTTCTATTTCTTTAATTTAGAGCTAGGTTTTAAAAAATAGTGCATATGAAAAAGCTCCTGTGTCCTGGTAGGAAATATAGGTTCTGTGCCTGTAATACGCAGACTGTGGGTAGATAATTTTTAAAAACAAGGCATCTTTCAGATATAGATAGAATTCTAGGAAGAAAAAATCAAAATGAATACAAATGAATACATTTTAATACAACTGGATAGCCTTCTTAGTATATGTAAGACACAAATATATGATCTAAACCAGAGGCTGCTCAACCTGGCGGTACCTCAGAATTAGCAGTGGACCTGGTCAAAACACCTATGCCCGGCCCCACCCAATTCTAATTCAGAAGCTTCTGAAATACTGGGGGGCCTGGGTGTCTCAATCAGTTGAGCATCTGACTCTTGGTTTCAGCTCAGGGCATAATCTCAGAGTCGTGAGATTGAGCCCCACGTCAGGCTCTGCGCTGGGCAGGGAGCTACTTATGATTCTCCCTCTCATAAGATGAAATCAGAGAGGAAGACAAACCATAGAAGACTTTTAACCATAGGAAAGAAACTAAGGGTTGATGGAGGGGAGGAGGTGGGGGGATGGGGTAATTGGGTGATAGACATTAAGGAGGACACTTGATGGAATGAGCACTGGATGTTATATGCAACTGATGAATCAATGAATTCTACCTCAGAAACTAATACACTATATATTAGTTAAATTGATTTCAAATAAAAGATTCTCCCTTTCCTTCTCCCTCTGCCCCTCCCCCCTCTAAAAATAATAAAAAAATAAAACAAACTTACTGTTTTTTTTTAAACAGTCTTTTTTGAGGAATATTCAGTGTCAGGAACTCCTTTAGAGAAAAAAACAAAAACAAAAACAAAAAACCCTAAACAGCCAAATTTTAGGTACTTTCTGACATTTCCCTTATTCATCTTCAAGGACCCACATTGCCGCTTAACCTAATTTTGGTTCTGTCTCCTAGTCCTGAATAGAGTTAGTTTGGTCTGGATTGGTATGAGACTTGGAATTTCAGGGCTCGAAATAGGTATGGTCTGGTAGTCCTCCACCCTGGCTCTGTGTCACATGCTCTTACCCCATTTCAGATCAGTGGGATTTGGACGTCCCCAGGGGTCCGGAATACTGACTCAGGAGGTCTGCAAAGTCTAAACCAATTTCAGAAACTATTAACTTTTTTTTGCCTTTTACTCACTCATTCTCCCATGAAGGTACAGAAGAGTTTTCTAGAGGCTACGTGACATGTGATACATGAATGGAAGAGCAGATGCAAGAGAGTCTAGCTGTTTTCTGTGAAGCCAGATGTTCAGGAGAGATTTGCCAAATCATAAAATAGTGCCACTCTTCTCAATAAATTTGTTTGTTTGGGAAGCATAGTTATTTTTAATTAAAAGGTTTGTTTTTTTTTTTTTTACATCAATATGTAATGGTCCATTATTGTTATTTTAAATGAATAGTAAATATCTTTTCTTAATTCTTAGTTTTAATTTCCAATGTAAAATACATATATGTGGATATAAGTCATATTTTTAAAAAGCAGGGTCCTCAATAATTTATAAGAGAGTAAAAGGGTTCCGAGACCACATGGTTTGAGACCTGATCCTCTGGAAGAACATCTGTAGTATAAATGAGTTTCTAGAGTGTTCTAATGCACAGATTTGAAAATTTTGTATCTGCACTTCTCTTATGGAGAGAATACACCTCTTATGGTCTCCACATTTCTAAAAGAAAACCAAAAAGGCAAAATTTGTCTCAATTTCCCAGTTTCCAGCACCTGTTTCCTTCACCCCTTTCAGTGAATGAGACAAAAAGCCATAGCTACACTGATCCTATAACCCCGTGATTTGTATTCTTTTTCAAGCAGGGGTCATCCCAATTATTCTTTCTTACTCCTCTAACTGAATAGCTCTATTGTAAAATAAAATAAACATTCTTAAGTGAAGTTTACTATTTCTGCAACAAATTCCCCAAGCATGTTGATTCTTGTCCACATTGCACTGGAAGATTTTAGACCTTTCGAGTAGGATGGAACCATTTTAAAACATGGATACGACACACTTTGCTGATAGAACCCAACCTGCTTAGCACAGCGTTGGAGGCTCCCTATGATCTGCGCCCGTCCTACCTTTCATCATGTCTATCACTTCTTCCCTCCACACAGTCTCTATCCCAGCGTACTGTGGGGTCCTGGGCCACCTGCCTCAGAATCACCTGCAATGCTTAGGAAATGTAGTCTCTCCTAGATTTGCTGAGTTGGAATATCTGATGATCGTGCTGGGCAATCTGCATGTTAAGCAAGCTCCACGCCCCCAAGGCTACCTTTACCAAGATGGATTTAACGGCCCATTTCATGGTGCTTCTCGCTTGAATCTCTCTAATGGCACTGATTTCATGCTGCTTCCCATGCCGGTCAGTGGTTTGCATACTCGTCCTTGATCCCCGACCAGGCTGTCTTTCTCTTCTTCTCAATATCCCCACGGCACTCGGCTGTGTATACGGTGAGTGGTCGCTGCAATAGGGCACTGCTATAGGGGGTCGCCGGCCACGCAGAACCCGGTTGTAGAATCCATCAGAAACAACAGTTTCTGGGTACAAGCAGCAAGACAGAAGAGACAAAGCATATCAGAGGAGATCCCGTTACTCTGGTAAAGAAATGCCACCACGAGTATACCTTTCTCTTTCCACGAGTTGAACTCACCACTGGAGTGTGTAACCATTTCCCTGTAGGCTGGTCCTGTATCCAAAACTCAAAGACATATGATTTTCTATCACTAGAAAATCTTATTATCTTTTCTATCATTAGAAAATCTTATATCTATCTAAGCGAAGTTAATGTAGAAATGTCCAGAATCCTGCACAGGCATTTCGGATATTAGATGTCACTGGAAAAGCTGGAATGCATTCATTTGCAACAGATACTTGCTTCTGCTTTAAAATACCCTTTATTTGGTAGGCTTGCTGTATTTGCATACAACTCCAGAATTGTTTACATAGAATTAAATACACTTTTAAAAAAGATCCCAGAAAGGTTGTTTTCTTATCCCAAGGAAAAGAGTGTTTGCAGATTTGAGTGGATGGTTGTTGCTCGAAGGGTGTGGCGGTAAGTCTTGTCTGTGTTTGCTTCAGTTGCTGGTGGGTTCAGAAACATGGCACGACAGAGACAGGTTGTTGGGTCAAAGAGAGGTCTGATGATGGTCTGGGGCAGCCTGTTAAGAGGGTGAAACAAGGGTATGTTTTGGTAGAATGAACACAAATCCGCATGGCACAGGCATGATTAGTATGTGCCTCCTTTATCCTGTATCGGGAACACCCCTCAGATATTCCAACCACGATGTTTCTGTATCAGCTTTTTTATTCACTCCGGGGCTGGGCACCTGCTGTGTCATTGGGTAGCTCCTGACAACTTGGCAGGGACTTCACTGATAAATTTGCTCTAAGGTAGTTATGGTGGGTAAGGGTGTACATGGCAGGTGCAAGGGACCCTGGAGCAGGCATGCCGAAATGGGGACCAAGGCACCCTCTGTTTCCCCCCACCTTGCCTTTATTCCAGGACTTTCCTATTTTTCTGGCCTATCCTTGAGGGATGGTTGAAGGGAGCAGGTGATTCAGTGGCTGAGTTCCCTTGGCATAACGCATAGGGGCCCAGGGGCTCCCTTATTACAGGGGTGCATGAGCAGAACTGAGGAGATATATGCAGCAACACACGCCTCTTAAATGGAGAAACGAATGGGCACTGTGACATAATACGAAATACATATTTGGTCTCTGCGCTGGGTTCTTGACACAGAGCTCCTAAAACCTTTGTAATTTCCTGAATGACAGGGGTGCTAGGAGCATTTTGCTTTTTCTGATATTGGTGTTTGACTCCAGTTCCTGGCCCAGAGCTCCTAAATCCCTTGGAATTTCCTGGGTGACAGGAACATCTTTTGCTCTATCAAGGTGATGCTTTGTCACCTGCGTAGCCTCAGGATGGGGGCTGGTCACCAGGAAGACCAAGCCACGTTGAGAAGCTTGCAACTTCCAGCTCCACACTCCATCCTCTGGGGAGGGGAGAGGGACCAGAGACTGAGTTAATATCCATCTTGCCTACGTAATGAAGTCTCCATGAAAACCCCTAAATTATGTGGTCCAGACAGCTGAAGGGTTGGTGAACACATTGAGATGCCTGGAAGGCAACCTCAGTCGCCTCATTTGTAATAAATCAAGAATAGCAAGTAAACTGTTTCCCTGGGTTCTATGAACCTTCTAGCAAATTATCAAATCCAAGGAGGGGTCATGGGAATTCCTGATGGATAGCCTGCCAGTCAGAAGAACAGGTGAGAGCCTATGGCTTGTAATTGGCATCTGAAGTGGGGAGGCAGTCTGATGGGACTGAGCCCTCAGCCTGCGGGCTCTGCACTAACTCCGGGAGTCAGTGTCAACACGGAGTTAAATTGTAGGACACACAGTGGCATCTGCTGCGAATTGGAGAATTGCTTGGTGGGTGAAAACCCACACATTTGGTGTCACGAGTGTTGTGAGTAGAGAAAGGAGAAGCATTTCTTTCTTTTAGGCATGAACAAGCACCTGCCCAGTGGGACCAGGGGGCTTCTCACATGCAGACAGACGTTCCTTTTCTGCCCACACCTGGCCAGGTGTCTCTGCTGCTGTGGCCTGAACGCCCCTTTCTGGGTTCTGCTTCGTGAGGGGGTCGTAGTGATCCTGATGAAGACTGAGCAGAGAGGAGGGGCCTTGGCCATCGTAGTTTACTGCGTAAGGGTGCAGATGGCTCGAAGTAGACCTGACGTACAGAGGAGGACAGGGAAGGTGCCGGATACGGCCACTCTAAGCCAGCTGGATTGTCTTTTAGGGAGATCAGCCTGGGGTGTGTAACGAGGGGACCTGGCCACTCATCATCCAGTCCTTCTACACATGGCCAGTTTCATGGCCGTAGCTTTTCCTTCGAATCTGAAAATAACTGTTTTGCAAATACTCTGGCCGTGGGCATATGGAAGCTCGGTGGTGGATGATAGACCGTTTCCACTGGAGGGACACGGAACAGGCAGCTTGTATTCCTCAGTTTGCATGGAAGAAAATGCAGGCCTGGGCCTGCTGGGTCAGAGAAAAGTGATGCAGTTGATCCTGGCGTTTTGCTGGAGGCACGCTGGAGCATGAGGGGTCCGGAGGCCGCACCCCAGGGGGGCTACTTTGGCAGCAGGACAGGCTTCCGGGGGAGGCTGAGCCACAGTCACAGGAGAGGGTGAATGAGATGGTCTGAGAGGCCTTCAGGCATGCAGTTATGTTGTTTCTCAGGCTGTGCCATCCTGTGCCTGCCATCCACTGGACCGTCGGGAAGCACGAGGTTGCTGGAAGTATCTCTTCGGGGCGGGGGAGGGGGATGGGTTTATTTGCTGAGCGGCACACGGGGCCGGAAGAGGGTTCTTGGACTCTGAGCCTTACAGTTAAAGAAATCAGTCAGTTCCCTGAGCCATTCCAGAATCCATTAGAGGGGGTTTTAGGGATGGGAGAAAAAGCTGCCCGAGCTGGTATATTGGTGCTGAAGGTGAATTCCTACCCGTGGGAAGGTAGGTGAGCCCACTTGGGGATTCTTGCTTCCTTGTGCCTGCGCACACTCGCAGGACGAGCTGGGGGACCTGATAAACCGCCGTAACAAACAGCTTCTCGTCAGGTACAGCCTGGTCTGCAATGATGAGAAGGTCTTTGCATTTATTTGGACCCAGTGTCATATCTTCCTGAAGCTGAGCACCAGTGACTGTGAGACACACCATGATTTTGTGTGTCACTGACACTGCGTTCAACCAGTGGTCAAATCTTGTCAGTCCCGCCTCCTTTGTGGGTTCCCTTCACGGTCCTTCTCTGTACCTTTAGCCTGCTCCAGCCTGTGTTTTCTCCTCCCTGGCTGTTTTGCCTCCCCCTTCACTCCACCTATCTCAACCAACCTCAGAGCTATGATCATTCATCCCCCAACCTCAAGTCCCAAAAGATACCGGATAGCCCACCAAATGCAGGACAGGTTCCTCATCTGGTCCTCTGCAGGGGGCTCTGCCCTCCCCCTTGGAATCTTGTTGGGCTCAGACATTAAACTCTTTTTTTTTAATTTTAATTTTAATTTTTTTAATTTTTATTATTTTTATTTATTTATTTTTTTAAAGATTTTATTTATTTATTTGAGACAGAGAGAATGAGAGACAGAGAGCATGAGAGGGAGGAAGGTCAGAGGGAGAAGCAGATTCCCTGCCGAGCAGGGAGCCCGATGCGGGACTCGATCCAGGGGCTCCAGGATCATGACCTGAGCCGAAGGCAGTCGCTTAACCAACTGAGCCACCCAGGCGCCCTCTTTTTTTTTTTTTAAATGGTAGTTCTCAAGTTTTTTTTTTTAAAGATTTTATTTATTTATTTGACAGAGAGAGAGACAGCGAGAGAGGGAACACAAGCAGGGGGAGTGGGAGGGGGAGAAGCAGGCTTCCTGCGGAGCAGGGAGCCTGATGCGGGGCTCGATCCCAGGACCCCTGGGCCATGACCTGAGCCGAAGGCAGATGCTTAACGGCTGAGCCATCCAGGCATCCCCCAGACCCTAAACTCTTATGCTCACTGCTTCCTGGTTTTCCCACATTTCATTACTTTCAAGCTTTGTCTCCCCCTGTTCTCTCCCCCGGTAACATTTTGTTCTCCTCTTCTTTATCTCTTGAAATTTTGTGAGTCTTTCAAATCTCATCTCCTGTATGACTTCGTCAGTGAAGGCTTTCCCGTTGTCCTTATTGGAAGGTGATTCCTCCCTCCTTTTATCCCTACAGACTCTATTGTGCTTGTTTCTCTTTTCTGAACATACTTCTTCATTGACTTGCTTCATCTCATTAGATCACGAGTTCCAAGAAGGCTCAGATGGTGACTCCTGCAGAATGTAACCCAGCACCTTTTAAATAGCAAGTGCTCAAATATTTATTGAATATATGAGAATCCTTGAAAATGTGGGGAAGAAATAAATTAGAAGAGTCCTCAAATGACTGTGTGCGGCGAACGGCTTGCTATCTTTCTGAACTGTAGCATAAAGGAGAAGTGAACTTGATTTTTAAGCCACTGGAATTCAAGGTCTTTTCTACAGCAGTTTAGCCTCTCACACAAATCCAGTGGGGAACATACACAAGTCCGTGACGCCACTGACCTCTACAGAGCAAGGTTCTTCCATTCGCTGATCTCAGGGCATGCAAACCAGCTCTGTATGACAGACAGATGACAGTCTTGGGGTGACTCCTCTGGTTGGAACGAGTTCAGGGAGCTCTTCAGTGGTCTCAGCTTTTGCAGTAGGGAGAGACGGCGGTCTGGCAGCCGTGGGGAGGATCAGACGGACATTGGAGAGGCTCTCAACGGGACAACCCTGACCAACAAGGCCACATGACCACTGTTGAGACTAAGTCCTGAGCTCAGTGTGGAACAAGAGGTGAAGAAGCCACACTTCACCCAAAGATAGAACCAACATGGAAAAACGAAAATAAAGGTGAGCCAAAATAGACGAGAGAGAACGGAGTCCGGGGAGCCTGGAGCTTCAGGAACTCGAGCAGAGAGACTAACAGGAAGGTGAAGGGGTGGATGGATGCCAGTCCAGCTGTGCCAGAGGGCAAAAATTCCTGAGGCTCAAATCGGGGAAATATCCTCTGCCTTGGCCTGAGTCCTGGGCTTGCAGGGGCTGGGTGCCTGAGAGTAGGTATATATAATAAAGCCCAGGTACTGAAAAGAACATTTGGCGGCTCATTCTGAGAAAATGTACCAGAACCTTGGTTCCTGCAGAGTCAAGAGTCTATTACACCAAGCACAATGCTAACCTAAACGGACTCGGGACCAATCTGTGTAGATGGACCATCGCTGAACCTGGCATTGACGGACACTGCATTTGGCTGCTTCCTGAAGCTACTTTGGTCTGTGCAGACCTCTCCTGTCTGATCCTTTGCTTACTTGGAATTTCTCCATCCCCCTGGGTTTCTAGAGGTAGGGTGGGGGGAGCCAGGTCAGCAGCCTGGTTTCCTGGGGCTGGGCCCTACCACTCTGCATCGATTTCACCAGTGAACAGCCTCGTCTGTACCAGCACCAAAGCACGAACCTTGCCCAGCGTTCTAGAAGCTGTACTTACACCCTGTTCCCTCAGACTGGACCTCCTAGTTGTCCCTTCTTTCCTGCAGCTCTCCGTCATCACATGCCTGATCTAGACTACAGCTCTGCCGGGGGCGTTGACCTAACCTGCCAACCCCTCTCCTGCAGGAGCGTCGGGGCCACCGCGCTCCCGCTTGATCTGGTCTCCTTGGACTGCTCCTTAACCTGTGCGAAATAAGGGACAAGGGATGGACACCCACTAACAACTCCTGAAACAGCAAGGAAGGAGGGGTCCCCCCTGCAATAGTGCCCTCTGCTCCCCCGCCCTTGACTCAGAGGTTTCTGCATAAACTCAGCAGAAACTGTTCTTTGAGAAGAAAGAACTTTCTTTTGCCCATTTCCCTTTCTTTGCCGGCTCCTTCATCGTCACTAACTTCTCTATTGAGTCTCCCCCAGATGCTGAATACAGCCCACAGTTATCCAGGGGGGCCCACAGTCCTGGGGAGAGATCTTAGGAGACACAGTTTTCCAGTTTGTTGGACAGTAAGTGGCTGGAGTCTGGGGTCCAGGTCTCCTGGATTCTAGCTCTTGCTTTGTTCCCAATATGCTGGGTAAACCCTTACACAGCCTGGCATAAAAAAATGCCTTTTAATGATGTGTGGCTATGGGCTACAGGGAAGGCAGAAAGTCTTTGAGTGGGGGCAGTTTTTGCTTTCCAGTTCCCTTTTCCTGCCTCGGACAGATCGCCAGATCGCCGTTGCCCTCTTTGCCTGGGGTTCTCCAGGGACAGCCTTTGGGGGGTATTTTCAGTTTACGCCACTAGGTGGTGCCTCAACCCTATCAGTCACTTACCAAAGGGCTGGCCCTGACAGCTGGGTTTGTGAGCGAGGATTTTTGGGGGTGGACGGGTGGGGAACTGCAGTGAGATGGAAGGAATGTTACTCTTTTCTTCCTGAAAACCCTGGAAGTCAACCTAAATATTCCTTCCATGACTGCCTGTGAAGAAGGAGGCCATTTCCCCAACTTCTCAGTCTTTTCCTCTGACTCATTCCACCTGCCCTTTGCTGCTAATTGGAGTAGGAAATAGCACGTTCAGGAGGAGCCTTTTTCTTTGGGTGGTCCTGGGGTGGGAACTCTTTTCTTGTTCATGAGAAACTGCAAAGCCAAGTGGTTAAGAGCACTTATTGGATTATTGGATCAGATTTAAACCTGACTCCACTTATAAACTGTGTAAACATGGGCAAGTCACATAACTTCTCCCCGCCTCAGTCTGCTCATCTATAAAATGGGGATAAAGAAAGTGACCTGCCTCAGGATTGTTACACCGTGGCAGGTAGCTTTTACTTATTAATACTGTCCAGGTTAGATACCAAGCAAACTTTAGTTTTTGGTAGGTTCAATCTGCCATCTTGCTGGCTCTGGTGAGAGAATATCTTTTCTAGTCTTCTCTCTGAGCGGGAGCTTTGGTATGCCCTCCTGCCCGCAGGACTGGGAGAGCCCTACGTCCGACCACAGGGTTTATAGAAGACAGTGAGCCTCTCCTCTGGTCTTGAGCTTCTTCTGCTTGTCCATACTCTTGGAGGCAGAGCATCCAGACCATACGCCCCTGCTCCAACTTAAGGCTGGTTCCCCTACCCGTCAGCCAGCCCTGGGCACTTCTCTCTGTAACTGTCATGTATCTAGGTTGATATTTTTTCTTTACATTTTTGGGTCCTTTGCTAGATATAAAGCTTTTGAAGTCAGTTTGGTTTAAAAACATTTATTCAGTGGCTGGTTAGTATGCTTCATATCTGTTGGGGCACTGCTCCTGGAGTGTGTATCTTCCAGCAGCCTGGGCGGAGGAACCAGCGCTCTGCTCCTGGGGAACAGTAGGGAATGCAAAGTTCACCCTCAGTGCATTGGGTGACTGTGGGGCTGCGGAGCTGGGAAGGGAGAGAGCAGCCCTTCCACACGCTAGCCCTTTCTTTTCTATATCGGGCTGGAAAATAAAACCCACATCTCTTCAGGGGTCTACTCTGAAAATCACAGAGGCAATATCCTCTACTGATAACAATTCTCCTTCCCTCAGACTTATCTGAATTGTCTGTGTTCTATGTTCTTCAGATTTGTCCTCCAATTGGTGGCTTATCAACTGAATGTGGGGGTGAAGTGGGGACTGGAGGATGAGGGGAGACCGAACTCTCCATGGGCTCTGGAATTTCGAGCATGGCCTCCCTCAGTTATCAAGGAGGCACCAGAGGGTCCTGAAGCCTTAAGGGTCTCTTCCCTGTCACCAAGCAGCTGTTTGGCCTCTTCAGCTGGGCAAACAGTCCTTCCTTCCTGACTGGCTCACAAGACAATGAACTTTTTGGATAGGAGAGGATTTCTGTGCCCACGCAAAAAAGACGCACTGTCCCTCTCATCCCTGACAGACAGATTTGTGCCTTGGATTCTGTGGTGAACATATTCTCTTTATTTTTTAAAAGCTTGTGCATTTTTCTGGTGAAGCCTGCTGAAGGCTGTTGAGTGATCTTCTTGCTGATACTCCCAAATGGGAGCTGGAGCCCACAGCTGAAAACCACAGGTGAGAATAATCTGCCATTGTGGAGAGAGCCACCTACCCGTGGAGGCTGGAAGCCACCTCCTCTAGGCTTATTAGCAAGCAATGAATAGTCCCTCTACCACCAGCCACTTGCCCCCCAGCCCCCGCACCGCCACATCTATATAAAAAAACTAAGGCGTGAAGAAGGAGGAGAGAAAAGAAGCCATAGCTGTGCAGTACTTGTGTTGAAAAGTCGTTTCCTCTCTGTCCCCTGGGCAAGGGAGGAATGAGTTAGATGCCACTGCCCTCCTCAAGCCAGTGGCAGGGAGGCTCGAAGGAAATGACCTGTAGCGGCTGGAGAAGGGGAGGTGGGCATCCTGGTCTCCAAGGGGGTGACTTGCTGATGTGCACTGGCCGGTCGCATCTGATCTCACCCGAACAGAGGAAAGAGGACTGGGAGATGGAGGGGTTGAGACGTACGGCCATGGTGAGGACACGAGTGTCTTCCGTGGGCCTGGAGAACACCCTGGGAGGTAGGTGGGCTTGCGTCACTTAAAAGAGCTGCCCCTGAGAGGGGTCCATGGTGCTGTGGCAGTCTTTGGTCCTCTGCAGGTGCAAGCTGTGGGTGGCAGGGGTGGGGTGGGGGAAAGAAGGGGAGGGGTGGAAGAGGTGGAGCCAGGGTTGGGTCTCCTGAGTCAGAGAAGCCAGAGATCCCACATGGGCTGTCTGAAGAGCAGGTGTTTGAACACCAACCACATGGGGGGGTGTCTACAGCTGGTTAATATCACCCTGAGAAAAGGAGCAGCCCTTGAGGAGAGGAACCACAGAGAGCAGTTAAAGGAGAGACCCCTCTCTCTGCCTCCTTCCTGCCAGCATACTGGAGAGACCAAGCCCTGAAGGCGGCTCAGCGCTTCCCAGGCCCTTGCCCTCTCTCAGCTCCTCGGGTCTCAGGTTAAAACCATGCTGATGGGAGGAGACGTCATATGCAAATCCAGTTTGAGGTTAGAGTTTCAACTGGACTGAGTTTTAATAATAGAAAAATAACCAGAAAAGTTTTGAAATCTGCCTAGCATGTCACTAAGGAATGCAAAGGGCAGATTTGACTGAGGTTGCTTGAAGGCAGTAATTAGAGAAAAATAAAACTACGTCATGCTCATACACCACTGAGATGAGACAAAGTAATTTACTAATTACAAGCCGTTTACAAATGATTTGTCCTAAAAGAGATATAGGCATCTCTAAAAGAACTATAAACAAGTATAAATTGGAGAAGGCTTTATTAGTGGGAAATGACAGAAGTTCCTGTTATAAGACACAAATATTTCCTAACAACAATATCTTAATCGAAAGCAAATTACAAAAGGCCACGTGGTTGGGGAGGGGAAGACAGCCCCCAGGTCTTAATAGATTTCCACGCACCTTGAGGTAAGTGTTGAGGGTTAAGATTAAGGATTATTGATTGTGTGTCAACTGTACTACAATTTTAAAAAAAGGATTATTGGCCTAAACTTCTCTTGCTAGCCTTCTTAGAGTAGGCTCAGAGTCCACCCAGCATTCTAAAACTCATGGCAATTAAACATTCCTCAGAGCAGGCTTACATTATCAGAACATCTCGAGCTATTCTAGAATCTACACCCATTTGTATTGATTCAGTCCAAATACTCAGTGTCTAGGAGCTTCAATTCATTCTTTTAGGATGAAAAATGCACCTACCTGGTGTTGGTCACCACTTTTGCCTGGACACTAGGCACACCTTCTCTCAGCCTATGAGACTTTCCTTGCCTGGTCACTGGCCATCAATTGTGACCTAAGTTCTGCTTGACTAAGATTCCCCTTCTCATCGCCCCTGACCATGACCTCATCTGAGCCTAACTTACTAAAATCTCTTGTTTGGCCAAGATCTTTGCTCTGCCTATTAAGCTCTGCTGTCCGCCTTGGTGAAACATTTTCAAACTGTGTCACTTTTTGTTTTAAAACAATTTTGCTGTTTAAGAACACAACATGGGAGGTAAATAAGGACAGCACACTTTGCAAAGAGGAAAGGATACTAGTCGGAAAGCATTTATGGCAGGTTTTCTCTCACAGTATTAAATCTGTGTTTTCTGACCTAAGTTCAGTGTATCTTTCTCCCTCTGCTCTTCACTGGTGCCCTGGAGGCTGTCTTCCCCTCCCCAGCCCACAAAGAAGCAGAAACAAAGACTTAAAGGAGCCTCTGGCCTAATTCAGCAAGAGGAGACTCCCCTGCATGCTTATATTTAGCTAGAGTTTCCACCCCCAAAGGTGAAGTAAGCCTGGAGGCAGGGGAAAGGGAAGGGGAGGTGGAGGGACTAGGCAGAGTAGAGTGTTAGAAGTGTCTGAAGTGGGGAGGGGAAGAAACCCAGACGCGGTGAGCATTAGGGATGGAGCGAGTGGTTGGTCCTTGTCACCCACAAATCCACCCACTGCTTATTCACAACCTGTGGTCCTACAGTCCTGGATCCTTGCAAGCCTTCCAACAGAAGGTGAAGAATTTGGGACACCTTGTGAGAGAAGGGGCTATAAAGGGAAAACTTCATCCTCCACAGAGGAGGAACTATTTAGAACCCACTGGATCTCCCTTTAACCCAAGGAAACCATGGCCATGGTCCCATTGTTACATACTTCAGGATGAGCTGAGCTGGTTTGCTAGCTCCTGGGTAAAAATGATGTGTTTTAGCTGAGTTTTAAGGTCTGCATCTGCTAATTCTAGAGGAGCTAAACTCTCAATTAAAAATGTTAATTTTACAGATAATATTTTACCTGGGTCTTATGATAGTTATTGGATGCTCACTTTGCCCTGAACGAGACCTTGGTCATCCCACTGACCTTCAGCGTTGACGGCCCGATCTGGGTCTTTCTGTATTAGCTGTATTAGCCAGCTTTCAAGTAATCAACCCGTGACTTAGCTGGAAACTCAGAAATTCAAGTTCTGGCTTCACATTATGTGTTCCAATGACAGACTCAGGCTTGACTGCTTTTGCAGAATTAAGTATACACAGATATATCACCGACAAGTCAGCTACCAGTATTTATCGGGTCAATTTTGGGATAGAAAGCACATTTCTTCATGCGAGAATGTGTTTATATATGTATATACGTTACAAAGTAGTAGAAGACATGATTACAGCCCTTGAGGAGCTTTTACAGTTGACCCTTGAACAACACAGGGTTAGAGGCATTGACCCCTGCACAGTAGAGAATTTGGTATAACTTTTGACTCCCCCCAAATTTAACCACTAATCATCTACTGTGGACCAGAAGCCTTACCTATAACATAAACATTTAATTAACACATATTTTGTTATATGTATTACATATATTTTTGCAATAAGTGAAGCTACAGAAACGAAAATGTTAAGAAAATCATAAGGAAAATAGATTTATAAT